GTGGCGGGTTGACAAATGCGCCCAGCACAGGCTGGACAGCCGATGTGAATCTTGCAGAAAGTAGATGGTGGGTGCACAACGGTTACTACAGGTGACACCGGCTCGTGTGTAGCGAGGACGGGGTGGTCGCGGAGGGGGTTGGGGGCTATCAAGGGCCATAACGTTCACACGACCGTTTCGCTAAATGTCGGGTTTAGGATTGAATACTGCTGCTTCAGTTGCAGTTCGGGGATTGAGCATCGGGGTGAGCCTTTCAGCTTTACCGTGCGCCTGCAATACCATAGTGCAGTTTTGGAGACTATACCACGACAATGCTCCTGAACCCCGAAGTCCCGAAGAAGTTTCCACATATCCGACCAGCTAAGGCCTTGACCTATCATATTAATCATATTAGTTTTCATCCTTCCAGTGAGTTGCCGGAAGGAAAGTCCCAGGAACAGCTCTGCATACTGAACGTGGGTTTCCCGACAGCCCGGGTTGATTTTTGTTGGTAAATACGACCCCTCACATGGGTTCCTGTTGCCTTTGCCCATTTCCCACACAACAATACTCTCAAGCCCAAGTCCCTGCCACGAAACGCACGTCACATGGCTTTCGGGCTTTGAGGATCGGTTTTACGAGACTGAATTTTCTGGAACCCCCGACCGGTCTTCCTTGGTTCCCAGCTTTCAAACCGTCGCCTTGCGAAGCTTCCTTGAGGCTTTCAAGCCGTCAGGATCTTGCAACCCAGGTTGTTTGGCATCTCCATTTGCAAACATTTCTGTTCTAGAGGATCCTAGTATTTAGGTGTTGCTCGGGGTCGTTGTGTGCAAAGCATCCGGAAGCTTCGCTCAACCTGAGCCCCAGACCTAAACTCATTTCCGCCTGCACCCTAACACACACTTACAATGACTCACTAGAACCTCAGAAAGCTCTCTGGGCTCGAAGTCTTTGGGCCCGAAAAGCCTCGAAATGGGGGTTTCCGAAAATAGGGGACCCTAATATAGTACCCTAAATAGTAGGATCCTTATTATATGGACCCCCAAAATAAGGTACCCTAATTTTTGGAAACTCCCAAATAGAAGTCCTCGGAGCGTCAGGCAAGGGCACCTGGGCGGATTCCATGGCGGCGCAGTTCATCAAGGCTGCTGCTAGCCAGTGGTGAGCAGGGCCAGGCGCCAAAGAATATGGGCGTTTCCGAAAATAGGGGACCCTAATATAGTACCCTAAATAATAGGATCCCTATTATAAGGACCCCCAAATAAGGTACCCTAATTTTCTGAAACTCCCATATTCCGCGCAAACTAAACAGGGATCCTTGCCATGACTGTTTACCTGCAACTCTCTTTACCTACAGTTTACATAGCAGCCACTACCCCTTAATCAGTAGGTAGAACCCATAAAACTGTAGGTAATTAGAGTCCCAGGTAGACATGCCGATACTTGATTCGTAGGTTTGGGGCTCTTTCGGCAGGTCTTCTGAAGCTGGTGTTGGGTCCTGGGTAGCCCTCAACCTTCAAGGGTTTTGGTTTTGGGGGTGTAGGGGTTGCAGGGTCCAGGGCTTAGGGGTCTTTAGCCCGGAACCCTAAACTGATACCACAATTCAGATTGTCTAACAGGTTATTTTTAGCATATGATGGTAGCTAACCCTACAGGTTATTGTCAATAAGATATAGTACGTATAGTAGTCCTTTTGGCCTGGCATAAGCAAGATCTGCCAATATAACTAATTCCTGGGGAATGTGCGGGTGAAAGCATGGAGAAAGTATGACGCAGGAATGGAAACATGGAAAAATATGGTTCGGAGAAATGAATGTGCGGGAGACTGTGGAAAAGATGTGACACAGAACGCGAGGCCTAATATACCAATGTGAACTGCGATGTGAACCTGTGTATATCCGTGTATGTACATAGAGATTGCACGATATGACGGAGTCTTTGGGATGTGTAGAAGCAAACAGTAACACAGGATCAGTGGATTCAGTAACTGTAAGAGCTTCTGTAATATCAAGTAATTAGTAGGGAGCACAGAGAAGAAGTGCAGGGCAGGCTTTGAGTTTACCCTCATAGTGGGTGCAGCTAGAATATTAATATGGGGGCCTAAATAATTACCTATACTACACTGTTTTTTAGGAGGTCCTTGTTATAGCTATAGTATAATTTACCCCCCAAACCCTATTCTAATTATTAAGGCCCCTACGTGATGTGTCTTCCGGTGGGGTTCTCTAGGTCTGTATGTAGAGCCCGGCTGGCCACCAAGGGCAGGGCCCAGGGCAGAAGGGATCGGGGGCACGCCAAGCTCAACTTAGCCGGAACTTCTCGGCGAATTGGACTGGAAAGTGCGCATCTGCTTTTGGGCGGATTCGCGTTTTGTGTGAAATGTGAGACACAACCAGACTTGCATCGAGAGGACCCCGGGGACTGTGTGAGGGAGCGGTGCGCGCACAAGCCAGGAAACGAGTTCGGCCCCCCTTGCGCCCCCCGCCTTTCTCTGGCCTTAGACTCGTGGCCCGCCGGTTTAGGGGTTTACTGTTTGGGGTTTGGGGTTTAGGGTTTTGGGTTTAGGTTTAGGGTTTAGGATTTGGGGGGGCCCCTTTGCAAGAGGAATACAAACACTACGTCGTACATACTTGGCTGTCCAGTCATTCGCTACTCCCTCTGGGCATAGCAGTATAAGGCACGCTGCAGAGGAGTCAAACGTCAAGTTTTCTTCTAAACCAAACCACAGCTTCTTTTTCATCCCGAAACCAAAACCCGACTTTGTTTCATATTGTTAAAGCCCAACCACACTTTCCTCCATACCCTGATTCCCTAACCACATTGAATTTCATAAGGTTCCTTTGAAAATTGATTACTAGGGTGAGGGCCCTATGCAAAGGACGGTGGTTACAAATATAGTACATATATACATATATATATATCTAGTATTCTGTGCCATAGTTGAATACAGTATGCTTTTTGCTTGACCGGCCCGAAATCGCTCGAGTTTGGGCTTCCAGAAGATTTCAAGTGAAGCGCTGCGGCGATTGGGGCTTAGGTTAGTTACTTGGGCTCCGAAAGCAACCTACCCTTTTGGCGAAGAACTCATAAGAAACACGTAAGAAGCGCTAGGTAACAGGCGCTTCACCATCACAAACCCGTGCATGTTAGGCGGCTCGAAGTCCTCATGTTTCAACTCTCAAACACGCGGCTTTCAAACTGCCGCTTTTTCGAGTTCGCCTGGCAGGCGCGTTGGCACCCTAAACCCTAAACCCTGAACCCTAAACCCTAAACCCTAAAGCTCATGATTCAGTGCTCCGTCTCATTGGGTCATCTCGAAGACTCGATGGGGCTTGCCCGTTCAGTTTCGATTCGCTGCTCCGACTGCGAGCGACATGCGAGACAGCGGCTTCGTGGGAAAGTCTCAGAATCAAAACTTCATGGTTTGTGTCGGTACCCTAAACCCTAAACCCTAAACTTCATGGTTTGGTTTGTTTCACTTTTGTCTCAACTCAAAGGGTGCGATCAGGCTGTGCCGATGCACAACAGCATCCGAGTCCTTGCTCGCGAAACTTGATTGTGAGACACTCCCAACTGTTAATGACGGACCGGTATCAGTTACCTGGCGCTTTGTGTACACGGATAAGGTGATAAGGAGGTTGCATTCGAATTCGGGTGTTGGGCGCAAACTTCCAGGTTCAGGGCCACGGAACCCGAATACGAAGCAATTCCTCTGCTCATCTGCAGTGTGCTCGAAGCGAAGAGTTTGAGAGTGGCGAGGCGTTTTGCTTCCTGCATCCAGTCACCTGAAGGGGACTGGATAGCAAGTAGGTAGGGCTTGATTTCCAGAAGATGTTCCTCCCTAAACAGAAGGAGCCGTAGATGGGAATAGATCTCGGGGCTCCAGTCCCGGTTATTGTAGGCCCCGAGCCGCGCTTCGGAGCGAGGATGCATCTTCCAAGAGCTATCGAGCAACATCAGAGCCGCAAAACCGTGTACTAGGGTTTAGGGTTTGGGGTTGCAGTTTTCTTCGCTGACAGTGTTCGTGTGTGGCAAAGAGGGGAAGGCAGAGATTTAAGTGGCCAAAGCAAAAGCTACATCTCGACCCCAAACGCAAGGGCCTCAATCCCCCAACCCAAAACAGAGATCCATGGATTCTTATTAGCTAACCCGAAAGCACAAGCTGCGCTTAGCTTGGATTGTTGCTTTAATTAGCACAGACTGCACATGAACTACCGTCATAACACAGCTGACGGATTGGCGGGTTGAGGTGTCCGTTCCGTGGCCATACTTACCACCAACAGCATCAACAATGACATGATCTTGTCTATCGTGTGTTCATTATCACGAATATCCCATCCTCGTCCTCTTCGTCATCTTCCATAGTCACTTGTTCGTCATACGATCATACCTAGACCGTCTCCTGCTATTCTCTGACTATTGTTTACGAGATTCAGTTCCAATAGGGCACAGGGCAATCAGAACATGCAGATACAAGGCACCTGGAAGCACATAGCTTTGGAAACGGAACTGGGGAGCGATCTTAAAACGAGGGATTGGCGAATAATGCAGAGTTCATTGGTGTCAAACACGCGGGAATCCCCAAAGATCTTGAAAAGCAAACCGCGCCAAGAGATTTAGATCGAGGTGAACCCTCAATCTCGCCACGATTTGGCATTGCGGGTGCGCTTTTGGGTCCGTAAGTCTAAACTCCTACAGGTTCTGCTGTTTTGAGGGTTCTGCCCGATTCTTTGGGTCTTAAGCCGATTCGTAGGGCTTGGAGGTCTCGAGCTCAATATTAAACCCTTGAAGCTCCCAACCCTCAAGCCCTTAGCCCTTCATAACACCAGCAATGATACTTATTCTACTAGTATATGCTATATCTTAATTAGTTAATTAATCAATATATATATATATACATATATATACCTATATATATATATATACATATATATATATGTGTATATATATATATATACAGCATCTACTGTCTACCATATACTATACGGCACAGCGTGGCATAACACCGAGAAAAGTGCCAGGCTTCGCACCATGGACTCTTTGAAGCAGCTCTACAACCTTGCCATGGATGCGCCGGGCACCCGGCATCCCCTTAAAGGGCTCTTTAGGGTTGAGGGTTCAGGGTTTAGGGTTTAGGGTTTAAGGTTTAGGGTTTAGGGTTTAGGGTTGAGGGTTTAGGGTTGAGGGTTTAAGGTTTAGGGTTTAGGGTTTTTTAAGGGTGCTATACCCATAGGCCCTAAAGTAGTCCCTTTTTTGGGGGATTCCCTAATATAGGGTTCGAAATATGAGCCCCAAAAAGGAACTACTTTAGGGCCTATGGGTATACAACTGATGATGATATAAATCCAAAACTTCCTGAAGGACCCCCAAACTTTGGGAATTATCGTAGATATTCCTATTATGGGCAATGTAGGATTTATATCATCCACCGTAGGCTTCCTTTAAGGGCTCGTTTCAGGGATCTAAATAAATTCAGGTGTGGGGTGAGTTTTTGCGGATGTTGATACGCCAAACCCTAAACCCCAACCCCCAAACCCAAGCCCTAAGCCCTAAACCCTATATAAACCCTAAGCCCTAACCCCGAAAC